CACACACATGCACATACACACAAATAAACACCTACATGTCTCTCTTTCTACCCCCTGATCCCTCTAGTCTCTGATCCACAGAGCAGAGCCTCACATTACATTGATTAGCGTAGACCTGCCTGTCATAAACCCACAGTGGTAGGGATTACAGTGCGGGCAAAGCTTTACATTAGCTGCCTGTGGTGCATCTGAAGCTTTTCACAGAGATAGAAAACGTCTAGTTGTGTTTATGAATCTTTTCAGGACACTTTCACTTTAACAGTAACTGCAATATTTGTTTCTTATACCAGGCCATGGAGGTTTAAATTAGGGTTTTTAACTGGTTATCAAAGTCAATTGAACACATATGCCCATGTATTATGACACACACACGACACATACTATATACGTATCAAGTAAATAGTATATATAGTATTATATCCCCCTGAAATCAATGAAACGAGGCAATGGAAACACTAGTGCTTTTTGTACACAGGGACCACCAGAATCAACATAAAATGAAAGTTTGCTATAAATGTAACTTTTTTAAAGCCAAAAATGATATATATATGATGATTTTTCCATCAACACTTTTATTTTTGTCATCCATCTGCTTATTCCTGCAGGCCCATCTTCAGTGTGTTGGCGGACAGTGATGAGGAGTCCTCCAGTGCTGGTTCATCTGATGAAGAAGAACTACTTCTGTCTGAGCCTCAGGGTCCATTGGGGGAGAAGGGACCCACATCAGCTACTGATGGGTAAACACATACACAAAAGAAATAAGTCTCATATGACCTTATATACAAATCAAAATGTACTATCAACTGCTGCTTTTGTGTAATAATTAAGTCGACTAGTTATACAGACATATAAAAAAGTGTAACTTTTAATAAGCAACACCATGCAGTGTTACTTCTACCCGTCTGTGTTGTGAATGCTCATTTTTCTAAAGCAGAAAATAAACTGTGCTGACATCACACTCCAGATGGCTGTCGCTTTCATTTCCATTTCAGACTCTCGTTTCCCCCTCAGATTTTGACTTTAGCGTCTGAATACTAAATCCCCTCACATCACACTGACGCATCTCTCCTCCCCTCTTCTAATCCTCTCTTACAGGACAGGGGGTGGGAAGACTGGGAGGAAGATTTTGAGATTTGTGGACAAAATCGCTAAATCCAAGTATTTCCAGAAGGCGGCAGAGAATGAGTTCATTAAGAAGAAGTTTGAGGAGATGTCCAACACCCCCCTGCTGCTTACTGTGGAGGTTCAAGAGCTGTCGGGGACTCTGGTCATCAACATCCCGCCGCCCCCTACAGACAGAATATGGTAAGTGCTGAGGCAACAGAGCGGCTCAAACCCTTTTTAATGCACCTACACCAAAGAATTAGACAGGTGGGGTCTTCAGTACTGAGTGAGATCATTTCACAATACATATGCACACAAACGGAAACCCTTCAAAAACATCTTAAAACTTAAGCTTAAACTGCTGAATTCAAACTCTCTGTGGGAACAGCAGTCTAGTTTGGATGGCAGCTTTCATATATTATCTCACTTCTTATTAGAATTTATAGAAGTCATGGAAAGTTCATTTCAGAATCTTTCCATCAAATTTTCCATCAAAAGTTTTTTTTACCTTTGTTTTAAACCCAAATTATTATTAGCATTCATGCCAATATTGATATTTAATTTAAAAAATAATCAGATGTCAGATGTAATGGTGACGCAGTTTCTACATGACCTCAAACCTGGCTTGGCATTTCTATATGTGCAATAAGGCTTATATACCGGCCTGTTAGCTCTCCTCTGGATACAGACATTGAGATTACCTTCCTTATTTCAGTCTGTATACATTTTTAAATTCAATATTAGTCATATGTAGCTGGCTATTGCATGTCATAAATGAGCTGCAACTTCAGCAACAATGCTTCTAAAGCAAATCAGTTCACAATGTTCAGCAGCAGCATGTTGTCTTTATGTGGTGTGACTCACGCCTCGCACCTCATCTCCTGCCAGAAGTACATTTATTTATTCTACTAGTCCATTTGAGTCGCACTAAAGCTGGAACAACAGGAGGCTGAAATGTGGAATGAAACAATCTCATTATAGACTTGATAGATTTGATGATGATCCCCTCTGTAGGTACAGCTTCTGTGTGCCCCCCAAGTTGGATCTGCATGTCCGTCCCAAACTAGGGGAGAGGGAGGTGACTTTTTGTCATGTGACTGAGTGGATTGAAAAGAAACTGCAGGATGAGTTCCAGGTAAAAAAAATAAAAATAAATACTATATACAATGTTCATATTCTCAGCATCCCCCCCTTCTCTCACAATGATGTTTATTTTCTTCTCCAGAAAGTGTTTGTGCTGCCAAACATGGATGACATCTACTTACCCCTGATGCACTCCACTGGGGTGGACAGCCCTCAAGTATCGCAGCATCTGTCCTCTCAGTCCCAACGGTCCCAAAGCTCCTCCACAGAGTCCATAGAGCGGATCCCACCCGAGATCTCTGGGGCAGAGTCTGACTAGTGCCTCGCTGCTGATGATCGAAGCAGAGCCGACCCTGCAAAATGGATTCATTATATATTCACAGTGAGAGAAGGGGGGGAGAAGAATTAAAATCACCAAGCAGAACATAATACAGTTACTTTTTGCCTCTATAGACTTGCAGACTTACTAACCCTTGTGCTTCTGTCTGAACGAGGAGTTTCTAAAGGTCTGATGTTTAGCGCTGTAGGCGTGATGGAGAGTTTGAGGATTGTTTGTATCTAAAAGGAGCTTCATGATACGGTGAAGGGTGAGATGTTACTGTACAAACAAGTGATACCTTTTGCAAATGTTTACATGTGAATGATCCCTATGAGATTATATACATATATCTATTTATTTGCTGCTTTGATGTTTACAGCTCAATGTAACTTTGGATATAAGATGACTGACGTCAAATAAAAGCTAGAAAAACACCTGCCAGTTTGATTTTCAGCCAAATGACAGTCACACACAGAGTACATATGAAACTTTCTTGAGACACACACAAAAAAAAAACATAACCTCAAAAAATCTCCCTATGAGCTCTTTTATTAAAAACAAACAAACAAAACCCAACAAAGATAAAAATGTTTGTAAATATTTTCCTGCATACTTGAATCAATTCATGTGTAGCACTTTCATGGACCTCCCTCATAATTACAATGTCTCAAAAAAAAAAAAAATCTATTAAACATAATATTACTGTGCATTAAAAACTTAACTAATACTTTACTATGGTGTAGCTCATTACTCTGTTAATGATGAATTTACATATCCTACACCAGTGGTTCACAGTCCTGTCAGATGAACTCAAACACCACCAATCATGTTTCAAATATGTTCATTTGAATTCATTTTAAATTAGATGCCATTAACATTACAGTTGACTATAAAGTTGGATATTATTAGAATATTTTTTCATACAGTTCAACTGTCAGTGTTTTTGTTTAACTTTGCTTTTGTGTTACCTGTGGTACAGGCTGAGATTTCAACCATTTATCCATTTTTTAGTCAACATTTTCAATGATTTATGTTGAATGTATCTGTTACTTTTATCTATTCCAACCATTTATCGGTTTTTAGACCATTTTTTCCAATCATGCATACATTTTTAGCTTTAAAAACTTTTTTGACAACTTATCTGTTACTTTTTGCTCTTTCAACCATTTGCCCATTCATTTTTGGCGAAGTATTTGGACTTTTCAGCTTGCTTAATAATAACACCTGGCATTCAGGTGTTACAGCTGATTCAGTGTGTGGATATATATTGTTTAACTTAATTGTAATTTCTATTTTTTCAACTTAGTTGAGTTACTTCAAAACCATTTTAATGCACCCCTTGGCGACAGCAGAAATACCACCAGGGGTATACAAACCCCTGGTTGGGAAACATTATCTACTGTCTTTGTCCACATACAAACATACTGTTCACTGTTTTTTTTTTCTCATTTTCTAATGAATGTCAACTTCTTGACTGACACTAGGTAATATTTATTTAAATGGCAAATCAACCTCAGTTGAATCACAGACGGAGGGAGCGTATATTCCCCTGCTTTTACGGAAAAAATACTCTCATAGACAGGAAGTTATTTTTCTGGTTCATATGGGATAAGTAGAAGAAGAACGTGGTTCTGGATCACTTGACCTAAATAATGTGAATATCATTTCCACTTGTTATGAACTGATGCAGTCTGGGTAGGGATCAAATGACTGTCATCCATCATCTCACGGGCACAGCTTCGTTTAATAGGAGAAATACAATGAATTGGAAGTAGGGGAAAATGTGCTTCTTTGTGCTTGGAAAAACTCTTTCATGCTCTGATGGTCATTTAGCTCAGATATACAGATAAATACAGATCTCTGAATTTAAAATGTTGGGTTTAGAAATTGGTACATTCATAACCTGAGATGCTTCTACAAGAGAGTATTTAAAAAGGTTTGGCTGGCCACGATTAGTTTCAGCATGGAATCAAACATATAGGAGCAGATTGATGAAAATGCAGTAATAGAAAATAATGGTAACATTGATTGAAGTATAAACAAGTGAGTCAATGACACAGAAGTCAAGATGGAAAGGAAAGATTCAAATGAACTGCTCAACAACACAACAACACAACATGGTGGAGAAACAGCCTGTACAGAATTCACAACCAGAGAAAAAGACCTGATGCATAAAATGAAATCAGAGGGGGAAAAAGTGTGATAATGTGTGGGAGGGTGTGTCTGTGCGTGTGTGTTTGTGTGCGTGTGCAGTGCACCTGTCACTCTGTGGAATACTGTTGAGTTATTTGCAGTATGGTTCATTAGGCAGGCCCTCAGTATTTGTTATGAGCCATTACGAGATGCAAATTCATAACTGCAGTGAATGTAATTACTCCAGTGGAAAAAATCTACATCAAGAAATCATTTATAGTACCTATGTACAACTTATGAACCATATTTACGTTATGTTAAGTTTCACAAGCTGCACCGTATCAGGGGCAGATCTAGATGGCTGCCACCCCAGTTTAGTGTCAAATGTTGTCAAATGTAACACATTCATTTAGATTAATTTAAAAAATAATGTGTTAAAAAATTAAAAATAATAATTTAAAAAATGTCTAATGACCCCTTTACTATTCAATGCTTTACTAATGTGCCACAATACTGTGATCATGTGTGACATTGTGTGAGTTAAAATATCATAATTTTGGGGCTTTTCCAAGCGAATGTACAGTATGTGAGTGTTTGTGATTAAATATTTTTGCCTTCAAAGTCTCCATGCCACCCTTTTGAATATTTATCTGGATCTACCCCTGATTATTGTTTCTTATTACATAGCTGATTACCTTGATGAACACTGCGGAAGTAGACACACAACCACTGTGCCTGAAAACTGATTAATTGAGGAGTGCAGGTGCATTCAGTTTTTCAATGGTGATGTGAGTACTTATACCTCACATTCCCCTGGTGCAGACACTCAACACTCTTGGAGCATAGTTGGATGTATAGTACGGTAGAATGCCTTGTATGATGTTTTAAAATGTGTGTACAGTGGTTTTCAATCCATTATTCTTATTTGGAAGCCGAAACATTGGACTTTTTTTCCGGCATAATGCTGTTTGAAGTCTATGCACAGGGCTTGTCCGGGCCCTCTCCTTCAAGCTTGGATGTAAAAAATTAAGTGAAGTCCATGTAATGTAATGTAATGAAAATATGTGCTGAGCAAACACTACGTACAATCTGCAGGCAAGCAACAGAGGGCAGCACCTGTTCACCATTTGGCAGGGACTACAGCACTCCTACCTGCTGACAGCATCACTTTCTTACCACCCCATCCTTAATGGCAATGCTCATGTTTTTTTCGATTTTTTTTTCCATCTTAATCCAGTACTCCATGGCCTATATGTACATTAAGGCCAGACACAACAGGTGAATAGCGTTCTTTTTTTTTGCATTACAAGTTTTCTGAGAGTTGAGTTGAGCATGAGCCAACACTTTCAGTCTACACTGTATATGTCACTTCAAATTATTTAGTTGTTTGAAATAGTAATTATGAAGTCTATACTAAGTTAAGGGTATCTAAAGTAAATTATCTAGTAATCTGTATAGATTTTTTTTTTTACTTCTCAAGCGCTATTGTGCTACACTAAATATGCAGTTGTTAGTACAACATATAATTCCTATTCCACATTACTCATTCTTTGTAAAGTAATTGGTTTGCATGCATTATCAAGTAAGATGAACTAATTATCATTTACAGTACGCCTCCACATATTTCATTGATGAGCTTTGATAGATTGAACCATCATAAGGTAACATAACATCCATTCCTCACAGGTGGTTTGATGTGGTTGTGGTTTGTGCAGGAAACAAAAGAAGTGACTTCATACAATTTGTTATATAAGTTTGTTAGTTATGTAAGTGAAAACATCTTTTCTTCCTCCTATCTTCTTCCTGAAACTACAGCAGTCGGTATGGTGCTAAATTATGTTGAATGTTCCTGATTCTGTTTGCTGTAGCAACTATCCAAAGAAGATCTAGTAAGATAAATTTAAAAAATAGCCATTAAGGCTGTAAAAATCTTACCAAAATATAGACAGTGGTTGCCTTAATTTTTGTATCTTAGACTATTCGTTTTTCCATATTAAAATTAGTAATGACCATCTTTAGACCAGGAAAAGTAATTCTGTCATTTGTTTAAAAGATCTGGGATTGGCTCTGGCCAATCTATGACTTATTGATGGAAGGATGTGAGTGTGCGCCTATGTGTAAAGGTGAACAGGTGGGCCCTTGTGATTGGTCCATTTGAAGTGATTGCTGCCACTGGGTATGCCCAATGGGTGATAGCAGGGTTCTCAACCTCCAGCTGACAGCAATCTTCTCTCTTTCACTCTGCCACTGCCAACAATGGGCCAGCCGCTAGCTTTTTGTGACAGCATACATTCTTGCTTGTTAAAGCAGGAAAAGGTGTAAATGAATGATGGGTCCTTGTTCATGCTGGTTCACTTTCACTCTGTCATGGCTCACTGGGACACCTGAATAGACCAAAGTATAGTTAATGTTATCAGAAACAAATGAGCTTTTCCTAAGATGACAAATCAGAATATTTTATTTGAAAAATGTTTCATGTAATTTTCAAACTCATTTCTCCAATCTTGACTTTTCAACTTTTGCCTTCCCATTTATGATACCATCTCATCCAAAGTAAGGCTAATCGTCCTTAAAACCTTTGTTTTTTAAGAGACTCTTCACATGAGAATGCTTTATTTCAAAATCATATCATCATACATGACCAATAAATACTTACTTAGTGTAATATTATCATATAATTGCCAGGTTTGTAGTTCAGTTAAAACAAATAGCTCTGGCAATGTACTGTGTGTACAAAAAGCATAAATGTATATTATTTACAAGATCAGTATATTATTCAGCGTTGAACATGAGCTAATAAGTTAATTCTGACCATGCTTCCTCATATTTAATATATAACTATCTATATTGTTAGGTTCCCCAGAACCAAAAGTGATTGAGATTCCTTTAAGGAAGCATGTCTAACACATTCAAAGTAACTAATCTCTTTATCAGATTATCAGCAAATAAATGGTTAACTGCATGTGTTGCAGAGCTCTGGTGTCTGGTATTGTGTTGCATTAAAAAAAGAAATGTCAGCTTTGCACCAAATATGAATAGCAGGAATGTTTCTGTTCAATGACATCAAAGTGATTACACATAATAGTGATGGCAGTGTATGGAGCAATCTGTGTGGAAATTTAGGAAAATAAG